GGGAGTTGGTGGCTTAGGCTTTTGCCATTGGTGACTTTAATGAAGAATTGGCTCATACTCTTATTGTTCCTATCCCAAAGGTTGATAACCCTAATAACATGAAGGATTAGACCTATTTATAAAGTTCTTGTGCACAAGATTAAGCCTTATTTGAATTATTTGATTGGCCCTTGTCAAAGTAGCTTCATTCAAGAAAGAAGAATATGTCATATTGCTTGCCTAAGAGATCATTCATACCATGCACAAGTAGAAAAATAAGAAAGGCCTCATTTTCTATAAAATTGATTTTGAGAAGACATGTATGATAGAGTTAATTGGGAAACTCTTCAATTTACTCTTGCGAAGTTTGGGTTTCCTTCAAATATTATCAAATTGATTATAAAATTCTTTACATCCACCTCGTTGCCTTTAAAGTGGAATAATGAGATCTTAGAAAGATTTTCTCCTACTAAGGGCCTCCGTCAAGAGGACCTATGTCTCCTCATCTCCTTGTTCTTTGCATGGAGAAAGTTGCTTTAGATTTAAGAACAAGTACAAAAGGAAAATGGAAACTTCTCAGGGTTGCTAGAGGTGGACCAACAGTTTTTCATCAATTTTTTTGGTTAATGATTGTCTTCTTTTCACTGAAGTAGAGTTTTCTCAAGTTCGATTAGTTGAAAAAGTCTTATATGATTTTTAAAGAGCTTCTGGTATCAAAGTCAATGTTCAAAAGTCTCTCTTTATGACTTCTAAAAATGTACCAAGGAGAAAGATTACTAAATTAACAAGCATTCTGGTGTATAACCACACTGTGAATTTAGTAATTATTTGAGTTTCCCTCTTCTCATAAGTAGAGTGATAATTCTTAATTCTCTTTTATTTTGAATCGTATTTGAGCTAGACATGCTATTTATGCAATGCAAAACATGTGGCTTCTTGAAGGTGTTTGTGATAGAATTGATGGGATTACACAAACTTTATTACAGCCTTCCTCCAAATCACATACACAATCCCACATTGATAACTCTCCACCGCTTTAGCTTTGTAACAGACTTGTAACAAACTCCGCTAGTCTCATTATAGCTTCGTGTGCTTTCCATTTTGGTTTCTTTTTTTCGCAGGTTCTAGCCTTGAGCCAACAACACCTATATATGTTGTCCCTTGTAATTTCCTTTGTGCAATAAATTAAGAAAAATAACCTCTTCTCAATATTGAGTTTTCCTCTCTATTCTTATGGCATTTTTCATATTACGGTATCAGAGCTCATGCTTGAAATTCAAGAGCTCTGTAGATTTCACTTCCCATGGCACGAGGAAACAATGGCGGTGGAAATCCTCCTAATCCTCCACCGTAAGATCCAGCGTTAAATCCACTCAGTCTCTATTACATTCATCCTGGAGAAATTCTTTTTATGGATTTAGTGTCTCCACTACTCACAGTTAAGAATTACCACAACTGGTCTAGAGGAATGAAGTATTCCTTAATCTCAAAGAACAAGTTCAAGTTCGTCAATGGATCTTTGTCAATTTCTCTTGCTTTCGATCCAACTTTCGATGCTTAGGAGCGATGAAACAATTTGGTGTTGTGTTGGATTCTTAATCCAGTTGAACCTACTATTTCACAAAGCATAGTCTACATCAAAGTTGTTGTTGTACCTTGGAAATTGTTGAGAGATCGTTTTTCACAAGCAGATCGAGTCAAAGTGTGAGTTACATAAGGAATTAATGTCCCTAAAACAAGGTGCAAATTTTGTTGCTCACTACTTTACATAAATAACTACAATATGGGATGAAATAAAGAATTTTAGGCCCTTTCTAGATTGTGTATGTTATGTGAAGTGTGTCTGTGTAGCTAGCACCAATGGAAGGCAATTTCATGAAGAAGATTGTATTATAACGTTTCTTAGTGGACTGAATGATGAATTCGATGTGGTTAGAACTCAAATTCTAATGATGGAACCCTTCCCCAATGTTAACAAGGCTCTTTCCTTAGTGTTACAAAGTAAGAAACCACTTTGGTAAAGGTAGAGGATATGGTTCTTTTGACAAAAGCAACCTCAAAATTTGCCGTTTCTGTGGGAGAACTAGACATACAGTGGATGTGTGCTATAAGAAGCATGGTTATCCAAGTAATTTCAAAGAAAAAAATTATAGCAGCATGAACAACTTAATTTGTGTGATTCATCAGAATCTGCTTATGACAATATCAACAAGGATTCAGATATTGTGCAAAACACTCAGATTTCTCCAGAGCAATATAAAGCTCTCATAACTCTATTCTAGTCTTCTAGTTTGGCCAGCTCTTCATGACACAACCAAGTTGCAGCAAAACACTACACAATAATATGCAATCAACTAATCAGGATCTAGATAATGATAAATCCTTCCTTTGTAGTGTCAATTCATCTACATCCAACACTTGGGCTTAATTTTTCTTTAACTTTCTAATTTTAAATTTTCTAAATTTTTTTACTTAATTATGAAAATCCTCTAGTAGTGGAATATATTGTGATCGGATTATAGAGAGAAATCAAACTGCAAGATTAAATCCCAGCATTAGTAAGAAATTTACTTTCAGAATTAGGAGAGGATTTTTCGACTGAATATTATTTCTATATATATAAATGAAATATTCCAGACTAGAAAGAAAATGACATTATAATAATAATAATTTTTTTTTCTATATTATTGAGAGTTATTTGGTTCTGATACCATAAAATTGAAACTTTGCACATGAATTCTTTTATACATGCCGAAAAGGCACTTTAGTTGGTGATGTTGACTGGTCAAATTGGTTTCTAATAGTAGTTGAGCATTTGGCAAGATAATTCTATTCCGTGTTTTGTGAATGCAAAAGGGGCTTGGTTATCCCACAGAATTTGAAAACTGAAATCAAGAGTAGAAACTTACAAGTATGTATGGCATCTACACTGTTCTTGTGCAAGAATTTTGAAAAATAGCCAAAAGACTAATCGTCTTAACATAAATATGTTGATTGTCAAAACATGTTTGCTTTTCCGTTTCAAATTAATTTCATCATCAGTGACAGAGTTTTACTTTATTCATAAAAAAATTGTATCCTGAAAAAAAAAATTACTGTTTCTTTTCCTATCATACCTTTGCATGATATGATGACTGTAGTATACAGTATTTCTCTATATAAGAAAAGACAATAACAGTACAAAGAAAAAAACTATGGGCATAAAAAATAAAAGTGGATGAAATTAATGGGGATATTACAGCAAAACATAACTCTGTAATCGTCCTTACTGGTGATTCTAATTTATATTTTGACCATAAATCATTGTATGTCTTTTTCTTTAATTTTCCTATGTTTTTCCCATCCACCGTTTGTGTGTATGGAGGGTGATGAGACCAGAGCACATAGCACAGTCCTTCTATAAATATTTCAAAAATAACAATTGTTTAGCAATGTGTATTTTAATACTCCTGGTTCGGTCAAAATTCATTTGTTTTTTTAAAAAAGTACCCTATCAAATGTTTATGCAAGTATGACCAATTGCGGGTTTAAGTATTATGAATAGTATTTCTGCTACAAATGCCATAGTGTGCAAGTATGTAAGTATTTAATCAATTCCAAGAAAGGGATAAAGAACTGGGAGAGAGTTTGTCTTCCAAGTTGAACTTGAGTGAGAGAAACCTAGTCATTGAGCAAAAAGATTCAAACGAAGTCTTATTTAATGGCATTATAAAGTAAGTTTGTAAGAAGTGTATACATTAAAAGCATGAGATTGTCAGCACTCAAAGAAGTGCAATGACAGAGCAGGCTAGTATCCTACTTTATAAAGGCAATAAAATAGGGAACGGATGGTAGTGCCATATAGGCACCCAACTTTCCACTTTACAATAACCTTTTCTAGTTTTGTTGGGTTGTTAATCAGTCAGATTTTCTTTCAAATGAAATTGTAACATTTTAGCTGTTAAAGTCTAAATAGAAATAGTACCCTATATTATTATCTACTAATTGACCAAATTATTAAAAGCAAATAAATGAAAAAAGAAACAAGTGTAAGAAATGAATGTTATGTCATTTATTACAAATTCAATGAGAGTGAGTTAAAGTTCTCCATAAAGAACCAAAAGGCCTTGTTGAGGCAGATAACTTGAGTCACGCTCAACTAGGCCAAATTAATCTATCAGCAGAGAATAAAATAAGAGATCTTTCTTTTCTTTCAAATTTTATTTTATTGATATCACCTTTACAAATCTCCAGCAAAAGTGAGAAGAAAATTATAAAAAAAATCGAAATTTTCGTGGCTCCGATCAAATTTTTCTGATTCACCTTGTAATCTCCACTCGTTATGAAAATCAGTGTGAAAAGTGGAAAACAAAGTAAACTGAAACCCAGGAAAAGCATGATAAGACAGAATTTTCTTTCAGCCGAAAAAAAAAGTAAGGGAAAAAAGGGAATAAGACATGGAACTTCTTATAATGTCTTGCAGAAAATTAAAATAAAATAAAATAAGAACCATGAAAGAAACACATTTCTTTTCATGAACTGTACAATGCTCCTTGAAGTCAGAAGTGGAAGTTACTTTAATATTAATAAAATATTTGCAGGTTGATCAACTTCCGCTGAAAATGACTTGTTTAATATTCGTCAGCAATAAATGGTAGAAAACAGTTATTTTGTATTTGCTTGGAAGCTGAAACAGAGCCCACTAAGACACGCATGCTTGCAAATTCTTCTGCACCGCTCCATAACCCCCTCCCAAAAGAGAAAAAAAGAAAACTTATGAATCTGAATAACAGAATAAGCATAAACGTTTGGTTCCTCCATTACGGATGCCTTATGTCATTTCTCACAGAAATATTCAGACTTCAGAAGAACTGAATTACAGTTAGAAAATCTAATAAAAATTAATTATAATATTACATAAATAATATAGAGTAACCACATTAGCAAATTCGCAGGAAAAAAAAAACATATATTAAATTGATCAAAATTTGTTACCTTTGGATCATCAAGATACCATTCCAGTGAAGCAAAAAACAAAATTTTTAACGGGTTTTGACAAATTCGGCATCTGAAACCGCAGAGTTCTCGAATTGGCTAGCATCATCATCATCGATTGGAGCTGGGAGGTTGAGATCTATGAAGCTGTTTCCAAGCTTGGTGGAAATTGGAAGAACAGTGGTATTTGCTGAGCCAGTAACATGGGTTCTCTTGTGTCCACCCAGTGCTTGACCCGAAGCAAAGACTCTGAAACAAACGGGGCACTCGTGTATTTTCTTTTCCACAGCACAAGTTCCACCCTTTTTGCCACGTTCAACTTCTGCTTCATCATCATCCACAGATAAGTTCACTTTGATCTTTTTGTGACTCGCTCTGTGACCCCCTAACGCTTGATATGATCGAAACACCTTGTTACAGGTCTCACATTTATACCTACCTTGTACCCGGTTCTTGCACAGTTTCATCATCTCTTGAGATTCATCACTCTCTTCTAAGGATCTCTCGTCGTCATCTTCTTCTTCTTCGTCATCATCCTCCTCTTCTTCCTCTTCCTCTTCTTCAAATTGATCTTCCATTAATTGATCTTTTTGTCTCTTCCATTTGTCCCTAGACAGCATCATGAGACAAACCGCGACATCTTCCTCGGTGGTTGCATCAGAAACCGAACTGGCAGGTTCGTGGTCCACCCACGATGTCTTACTATCTTTGCAAAACTTTACCTTCTTCTTCAGAATGGCTTCATGTTCCACGTCACCCCCTTGCTTCTTGTTATGATGATGATGGTGGTACTTTGAATCGAACACGCCGAGTTTCCATGCCCTTTTGGATCTTCTACGAGTTGGGTTATTCTTGGATGATTCAGTTTCACTCTCTCTGTCTTGAAGAATGACACAACCAGTGTCTGCGGCTGCGAAAGAGAATTCTGGATCCACGAGGCGAATGCTTCTCTTTGGGTTCTCTCTGAGGCCGTAGCAAAGACCCTTGTCATCATCGTTATTACCTTGTTCGTCTTCAGATGATGATGAAGAAGAGGCTGATTCAGCTTCGAAACTGAGTTGAACGGTTCGCGATGACTCTTCTTCGGGCTTTGCGAGAGTAAGGTTCATCATGTGAGACCGCATGTGACCCCCCAAGGCCCTGCCATTGGAAAAGCTTCTGAAGCAAAGCTTGCACTTGTGCTTCTCCATCATCGATGAATGAATCAACCAAACAGAGGTTAAGACAGAGAGGGTGAGGGTGTTGGCATTTTGGTGAATTGCTTTGGGGGTGTTGTCCTCGTCGTGATTTGTGAGAGAATGGGAGTGTGCAAACTATAAAAGAAGTAGGTGACAAGCATTCCTCCACCAAGAGATATACAAAAAAATAAAAAGTCAAAAAGGAAGAGAATACCAAAATCTGGGGTTTCCAATTCATTTTTATTTTGTTTTATGATTAAATTTGTTTCTTTTTTTGTTTTTACGGAACCGTAAATGAAAAATCAGAAAACCCCCCAATGAATTGAAAAATGAATTTATTGATATTTAATTAAAGATGTGAATGCACCAAGTGAGAGAAGAAAGAACATGTAACATGCCAGACTTGCCCGTTTCTGTATTTATTCCCCACTTAATCTTCTCTTTTCTTTTTTTATATTTTATTTTTTTTATCTTCCACCCTTTTCCAACTATCCAACGTACCCTTTTGCACCGTTTCAAGGAACTTACCAAATTTGACGGGATACGCTGTTTTTATTTCTTATTTTAATAGAAATCACATTATCGTATCTTTAAATTAATTTTATTCTAATTTTATTATACAAGGAATAAAAAGAAGGGTAATTTTGAATTTTTGAGGCAATTTTAAAGGAAGGTCCTGAAGGGCTTTGTTGCAACAACGAACCAAAATAAAATAGTTGAGAGGACCTTCATTCACAACCTCATCGATTCTCGAACGTTACTGAGTTGTGACATTCAACTGAGAAATAAACGACAATTGTTGAATAAAAGCATTACACGTAATTCACATCATCCACGTGTCGTTTTGATAGCAAATGGCTTTAGCAACAGCTGATTTACGGTACTGTTCATTCAAACAATTGACCTTATTAAATTAGAAAGATCGGAAATTTATTTTAGTTTTAAGACGGAGTTCTGATTCTGTTACTTTTCTGCCGGTGATACGAGAACCAACTGTCAGCACTGTTGCCTTTAGCATGCCGGCTGGTCTTCTAAATAGGACCAAAATAAAATATTTGTGCATAAAATTGGTAAAATTAAAATTTAATTATGAAAATATTTTGTGGATTAACTCTTTATTTTTCTCTCTTTACTTTTACTTTTATTATAATGGGTTTGCGGTGGAGACGTTGATAGTGGGTTTCCCCTTCAATTTTGGATCTTCGGTTGAACAAAATGTGTGATGGGAATGAAGGATGAGAAATGGGTAAGAAACTAACTGCCCTCCCTTTGAGAATGGGGTATTCAAATTCTAAGAGAAGTATATGCCGAATTGTTAGGGGTTGGTAGACCAAGTCCCACTACTACTAACTCTCATTGGTAGCCTTTGCCATTCATCAACATACTCAAACTTTCGTTTATTTCTTCTTACTAGTTAGAGTCTTTTCTTTTCAATTGTTGTAAATAAAATGCCCCTCAGCACGAGATTATTGTTTTTTTTTTCTTTTATTGTGCTAACATTCATATCTTTCTATTTTGATAATTGTTTTCTGTTACTCTGCAATTGATTATTGTTTAATTAGAAAATCAAGAAAACTGCATGGAGTTGGAGCATGTTTTGATAACCACAATATATAATTTCAAAACTTTATGTTTTCAGCCTCAAGTATCTACTGAAGCTATTTAAGTAAATTAACCTTAATAATTTACATATAATCTTTAATGAAAACTGAAACATGCATTAACTTAAGTGTGAAAATTGATATATGCTTGAAACAAATGAAAGATCATACGTAATGGAAAGGTTAAATGAGAGGAAATTTAGTTATACTAGTTTTGAACACATGCAATGTACATAAATACATAAGTGCTTTAATTTAAATTTTTTTCTTTCATAATTAATTATAAAAACAATTTATATAAAAATTGATGAGATTTTTTTTAGAAAAAATTTAAAATCTACAATTTATCTACTACATGTACAATTAAGGCTTTATTTTAGAATTTTTTTTGGTATACTACACAAATATTATTTAATTAACATAAATATTTTGAGTAAAAATAAAATTATATTATATCTCTTTTTTAATTTAATAAATATTATAAATTTTAATAGAGTAAACACTTTTATTATTATAATAATAAATATTTTATTATATTAAATATGACTAAGTTGAAGAGATAAAAGATTTTAAATAAAAAATAAATTCAAAAATAACACTTTATAAAGAAGATAATAATACTTAATTAATTTTTTTTAACTTAATATAACTCCAAGTATATAATTTGTGAGTACGAATTGTTAAATATTATATTAAATTTGTGAAGAGAAGCACTGCAGATAGTATTAACATCCCCAAAGCATTAAAATAAATTAAAAGAAAGAGAAAAGCAAAAAATATAGGAAATTATTGTCATAATGATTTTTGGGTCAACTTACTTTTTTTCATATTAAAACTTCATTTCTGGTTGTTTTCCATATCTTTTTGTTTTCAATCTTTTCTTTTTATGATAATAAACATATGTCCTTTTTCTTGTTTTCATGACAATTTATTATTATTTTTTTATTGTTATTATCATTCTTATTCTTATAAATTGTGCACAACTCCTCACCCATATCACCAATATGTACATATCCCCTAAGACCAAGAATTTGTCTCTGCACTATTTTTGTTCTATTCACGTTATTTTTCCACAGCGTCCAATGCCCAATTTGTGCTGAAATCATAATGAGCGTCATAATCGCACCTTCACAAATGCTGCTGCAATGTCGAAATTTCGCTCACAAAAACACACTTGATTTTTATTTTATTAATTTTTTTAACTTCATTTATTACTCTTCTATTTTATTAGGCATAATATACTAAGAGATGTTTTGGCATATTAAGCTTGAGACTTTGAGAATAGTAAGATGAATGGAAATGAGTGTAATGCGGTAAATTGACAAATAAAATTGAGATAAAAATAAATCATTATACGTTGTTAGGATGTATGTCACCAATGAAAGAGATGATTACAACAAAGTAAAGCAAGCGATATGTTTTAAGTTTTTCTAATTTGATAACAAAGCTCCTTTATGTTAAGGGCACATTTAGCTTAAATTTTATGTATTAAATCAAGTAGTAATATAATGAAAATTTATAACTTGTTATTTGGATCAAAGATTAAGAATATAAAATTTAAATTTTAGTTATTTTTAAACACTCAAAAATATTATATAATGCGGAGGTTATGAACTTGATAAGATCATATTTTGATATATTTTATGACTTATATTTATACACTTAAATTCTATTTTATATATATATATATATATATATATATATATATATCAGGAATACTTCGCTTCTTTGACCGGCTTTGGTCGAGCAACCGCTACCTCTGAACGGCAGCTGCCTACATAACCCATATCCCCTTTGACCAAGGAAGTGGGTATCAGACCCTAACAAGTGTAGTTCTCGGTCCTTTTTTATACAGTTCCTGACATGTGGCTCTTCACTCCAGCCCTGAAGTCTTCTGTGAGCCCCATCTGTTTAACGTGGCCCCCCCTCCCTAAGCTCCATGCAAAAGTAAACCTGCGCAAACAATTCTCAGCTGAGAGATGGACATCCCGCCATTAGCGTGAATGCTTCTCCAGGGCCTACCCGAAGATAGACGTCGCTTGTGGTATCCTGTTTGAATTCTCCAAGCAGACGTTGGTAGTCCTCCCTGGTGGCACCCACCTCTCCGGTCCTTCTTTCCGGAGCCTCTAAAACGAGTCGCTGGGCGATATCATGCCAGGTAGACGGGTCTCTGGACTCGTGTTTAGAAAAGGAGGCCATAATTAGTGCGCATTTCCTCCTGAGATCATCAATGGTGTCGCATGGATGCTCACGGGGAAAATCCACTTCTTCGACCCAGTTGGGAGAGGTCGATGTGCCAGAAGGCGCGAAGGGTGCTCCTCCGCAGGATTGGCAGCAGGTTGCTGCTCCCGGAGATTGCTAAATGAGTCCCCATGTGCATCTTTCTCTTTCTCCCATGCTTTTCTTTCCGTTGGTCAACAACCAACCTCTTTTTTTTATAGTAAGAAAGTCTCTCTGGTATCAGGGAGCAGAGCGACGAAGTCAATCCTATGCTATGATGGCTTTGTCTTTTTTCGGAATTGTGAGACGATTTATTCTCAGTATCACCGTACTTTTGGTTACTCGTATCCTTTTGGTTGGACTGTAACTGGGGCTTTTCTTTTGAAGCCGCTTTCTTTGCTCCATTTCTTAACGACTTGCTCGATTTTCTTCTTTCCGTCGGAGACAACGGTGCCAGCTCTTCGAAGCGACCGCGTTTCGATCTCAATTTGCCTATAGCGTCAGAGCCTGAGCCTGCCTCAACCTCGGACCCGAAGGAAGGAGTAGACCCCCTACCTCGACCTCTCTCCATAGAGGAGGAGCATATTCTTGATCGCTCTCGCTTAGCGTCAGGAACGTCTTCCCCTAAGCTATTGGACGAAGTGCGAGCGATCGCTCGACTCAAAGCAAAGGGCAGATCGCCGATCGGATGGCGCAATTGGATCCCGAAGAACCTTCATTTTGGCGAGAGCACAGAGATGCCATTATTCGGGATTCAATTCTTACAACGCACCAGCGAGACTACTCTTCTCACATACTGTCAAAAAAGCTTAAAGATTTAAGTGGTGCAAATGCCCACACTTCTTTAACTTAGAAAAGTATGGCGAAAATCAAACGAAAGTTTCATGAGCTTGGAACTTGAAAGTCTTAATGAGCTGACGGATAGAAGTCCAATAGCAACTGATCAACGCTTTGAGCGCTTCTTCATTTTTCTTCGGGGGATGTCTCAGTCTATTGGGCCTAGAGGAGCTCTAGACTCTAGTTAGATAGCTTTCTGCGCCCCAACGGCGCCTTTCCTTTACCCATTTTGCACTTTCGATCATTCAATTTGGACTCGGTAAACTTTTCGATTCTATTCTAAGACATTCTTTCTTCCATTACCTATTTTCTATGTCCGGTAAGGCGCATTCAGTTGAGGGAGAAAAACCTCCCGGGTCAACTCCTTGCTTTCATCGAGAATGTCATTGCCTCATGATTACTGTCCAATGCTGTATTTCGACTACATTAACTATGCTATTAATTATTGCAGTTTAGCTGAAAGTTGTTATCAGTGCATTATAAAGATATTTTGAATAAAAATTAGATAATTTTAGTCCTTGCCCGTGCTATGTGAATATGAGTTTGAATTTTGAATTTAAATTTTAAACTTAGATAAATATTTAGATATGAAGATTTGAAGCGGGAGATTCTTTAGTTAAGATTCTGATTGTGGATAAAATAGATTTGAAAAGATAGAGCTCAACCGACTAGAAATTTAGGGCACAACCTATATAAAGAAGCCTTATACTCCACACTTGATACATTTTTTCCACTTTATTTGACACGCCATCTTCCCTTTCTTAGGTTTGACTCACTTCTCCGTTAAAAGTTATTGAGATCATTGGCAAAGACGACGAACCCCTTCAGAGTCAAAGCGATTGATTGAGTACCCCTTTAGAGAACGAGAGCTCTTATCTCTTGTTTGAATTCTCCTTTGTGTTTTATGAATTGGTTCATTATGTTTTTCGTTGTGTATTTCATTATGAGTAACTAAATCCATAGCGTAGCTATGGGGATCCTATTGCAAACTTTGTGTGATTTTTACTTTTAATAGTGGTATTGGTTTTCCTTTATTGTTTGACTTTTATCCTATTGAATTATATTGTGCATGTTAAGATTTGATCACCCTTAGCATCCCATAATTAATTGCATTATAGGTAATTGTACCACGTGTAATTAATGGAACTATAAGATAAAATGAGATAAAAGGTTATGTGATGAATTCACTTTTTATTATATTTTTACTTGCCTTTTTGGTGCTCCTTAATAGAAAAAATGGACTTAGATAGTGCAAATAATATAGAAATCACATTTTGAGTAAATATCATAGGTTTATTAATTTTTGGTTAATTTGCATTTAATTACATAGATATAGATTGCAATTTTAATTATCTTAATAATTTTGCAGAGTCCCCAAGTTAATTTTGAGAAATCTTGGCCCTTGGATGAAAGTTGCCCCCAAAGTAGCCACTTTTAGGAGCAAAAGTGGCAACTACAACAAGTCTGGGCATTAAAGGTTCCAAAGTAGCTATTATCAAGCCCAAAAGTGGCAACTCCAGAAGCTCCAGGGACGCCAATTTTGAAGCATTCCTGCGCGTGGACACTATTGACTCTCATAGTAGCCACGCGCACCAAAGTAGCCACTTTCAGCACAAATAGTGGCAACTCCAGAAGCTCCAGGACGCCAATTTTGAAGCATTCCTGCGTGTGGCCACTATTGGCTCTCATAGTAGCCACGCGCACCAAAGTAGCCACTTTTAGCACAAATAGTTGCAACTCCAGAGAAGTGGCAACCCTTCCATCCTGCGCGTGGACACTTTCAAGGCCCAAAGTGGACACTTTCAAAGGCAAAAGTGGACACTTTGGTGACATGTCATCCACTATAAATAGATTTTAGGAATTAGGGTACGGGACTTTTGACACTTTACACAATTTTTCTTTGCCAAATTGAGACAATTTCTTACGACATTGGAGTCTTGGGTGACAGCCAAGGGTCCTCTATAGGTTTTAATTTCCAATTTCCCTTTTGATTTTTGTTGAATTTACTTTAATGTTGTTTACGTTCTTGCATTTCTTTTTCTCATTTGTGAAGCCCATCCATATGGAGGGCTAAACTTCCTTGTAATTCCTAGTCAATGCACATGAATCTTGAATTCTTGGGATTAATTGCAATATAAATCTTTCTTTCCTTGAATTTATTGACCCTAATCTTTAAATGAAATGGAATTTGCATGAAGGGAACATTGCTTAATTTTACCTAACAAAATTCTAATTCAAAATTGTTTAATTTTGATTAATCCTTGAGGTTGCTTAATCTTAGGGATAGAGATTGGAGCCCATTAAGATGCTTAATTTTAATTGGGACATTAAAGTTAGTCTTCGCTTGTTAGATTAACTTAATTCAAGGGAAATAAAGGGGATTATTGAATCATTTGAAAGAATAATGATGGAACTCATTGCTTGACTAGGGATTACTCATTTTAATTGATTGAATTTCATTAAATTTACATTTCGTTCTTGATTAAAACCCAGAAATTGACAAACCTCCCCCCAATTTACTTGCTTTAAAATACATGTTTACACTTGTTCGATGTATGTTCCCAACCAAAAATTCCTTGGAGACGACCTAGGATAACACCCTAGTACAGCATTCATTTCTTTGCATATTTGATGAGGATTAACGACAATCTTTTGCATGACGAGTAGCTCAAAATTCGTTTCATCAAATTGGCGCCGTTGCCGGAGAATTATTGGTGCTGATCTTATGTTGAACATGATTGGTGCTCTGTTTTTGTGTCTTGCATATTAGTGTGTTTGTTTCATTTTGAGTTTTTGTGTTGTGTTGAAAGTCATACGAATTTTGTGATCTGTTTTTGCATTGTTGTTGCATGATTTTCTGCATCATTTCCTTCATTCAAGTGTTGCAACTTATCAATTACTCACTTTCAATTTTCTGCACTCATTTTGCTACATATTTCTCTGTTTTTCTGCACTTTTACTGCATAATTCTGCAGAATTCTGCAGAGAGATTTTAAATTGTTCTTGTTATTTCATTTACTCAATTTGCTTTCAATTTAGTTAGTTGATATCTAGTGCATGACCCGATCAAACCCTGGAGATTTGTATCCATTAGACCAGGAGATGGATAGAACTTTTCATAGGAACATTAGGACACATAGGGATCACTCTGAACACTCTGAACCATCATCTCCTACTGCATCTTTGCAATCTGTGACACCAATTTCTGTTTACTCTTCTACATTTTCACTTGACTCTAGTTTTGGAGCAATGGCAGGTGATGAGAGGACTCTTAAGGAGCTAGCTGCACCGGATGTCACATACCAAACATTGTGCATCCAATATCCAGATGTGGATGCCCCTTTTGTTTTGAAAACTGGATTAATTCACCTTCTACCTAAATTCCATGGTTTTGCAGGTGAAGACCCTCACAAACACCTGAAGGAGTTTCACATTGTATGTTCCACTATGAGACCTCAAGGTGTTCCAGAGGAGCATGTCAAATTGAAGGCATTTCCATTCTCTCTTATGGATTTGGCTAAAGACTGGTTGTATTATCTTCCACCTGGCTCTATTACAAGTTGGGACACCCTCAAGAGATTGTTCTTGGAAAAATTTTTCCCTGCCTCAAGAGCTGCCTCAATAAGAAAGGAAATATGTGGTATTAGGCAGTTGGAAAGGGAAAGTTTGTATGAATATTGGGAGCGTTTCAAGAGACTTTGTGCTAGCTGCCCCTATCATCAGATAAGTGACCAGCTCCTAATCCAATACTTCTATGAGGGCTTACACCCAATGGATAGGAGCATGATCGATGCAGCTAGTGGGGGAGCCCTAGTTGACAAGACTCCCGCTGCCGCTAGAAACCTCATTGAAAATATGGCAGCTAACTCTCAACAGTTTGCTACAAGGCAAAATTCTCTCATGTCCAGGAGTGTCAATGAGATTCAAACTTCAGATTCACACAAGCTGGAGCATAAGCTAGATGAGTTGGCTTCTATGGTAAAACAGTTGGCTTCCATCCAAAAGAATTCTGCTGCATATACACCTCCACCTCCATCCATTCCAGCAATGCTTTGTGGGATTTGTTCATCTACGGATCACTTCACTGATAGTTACCCCACATTGCAAGAAACTGAATCTTCGGAAGGTAATCCTCAAGCTTACGCTGCTAATATTTATGCTAATACATTCCCTTTTCAACAGCCGCAGTAACAACAAAGCTGAGATTTATCTTCCAATAGATATAATCCCGGTTGGAGGAACCATCCTAACTACTTAAGGTGGGGAGGAAATGCACAGCATCAAGGCTCTAGCCAACCATCCAACAACCATTCCAACCGCATCAAGCTGGACAAAGCAAGCCATATTCAGCCCAACAACATCACCATTCATCATCTTCATCTCAACAACACCATCAAACACCACCTTCACTAGCTCCTGCACCTCAAAAAAGTGAGTCATCTTTGGAAGACCTTGTGAAGCAACTCATCATGAGTAATCTCAATTTCCAGCAACAGAGTCAGGCCTTCCAACAACAGACTCAAGCAAGTATCAAGACCTTGGAGAATCAAATGGGTCAACTTGCTTTATCCCTAAATCAACTTCAATCTCAAGGTTCAGGCAACCTCCCTGCATAAACTGTAACAAACCCAAAGAATGTGAGTGCCATTACCTTGAGATGTGGTAAGGTGATGCAAGAGCCAGAAATGCCTAAGAAGAAGGATCCTAGTCGCACTTTAGCTGTAGAAGGTGAAGGAGGAGAGATCAAGAGTCAAGAGCAGCCTGCACCTATGCCCACACCATGTCACCCAAAAGTGGTAGACAAAGAGGAGAGGTTCATTCCTATTCCCTTCCCTCAAAGAATGGTTCAGCCCAGCAAGAAGCAAGAAGAGGTTGATAAAAAAATTCTAGATACTTTCAGAAAAGTTGAGGTAAATATACCCTTGCTGGAGGCAATTAAACAAATACCCAAGTACGCCAAGTTCTTGAAAGACTTGTGCACTCATAGAAGGCGGCTAAAGGGTAATGAAAGAGTGAACATGGGGAGGAATGTATCAGCTCTTTTTGAGAGGCAGAAAACTTCCATGCCTGAGAAATGCAAAGATCCAGGGACATTTACTATTCCCTGCATTATAGGCAACAATAGGATAGATAATGCCATGCTTGATTTAGGTGCATCTATTAATGTTATGCCTTTATCTATCTTCACATCTTTGTCTCTTGGACCATTACAGCCCACAGGTGTCATCATCCAGCTAGCAAACAGGAGCACAGCACATCCAACTGGACTTGTGGAGGATGTGTTAGTGAGGGTGAATGACCTCATTTTTCCAGCTGATTTTTACATCATTGACATGAAAGAGTCAATGGATAGTGTTGCACCAATCATTTTGGGAAGACCGTTCTTAAAGACTGCGAGAACAAAAATTGATGTGCATGCCGGATCACTTACTATGGAGTTTGGAGACAGTGTTGTCCGCTTTAACATACTGGATGCTATGAAGCACCCAAATGAAGAACACTCTGTTTTCCATATTAATCATCTTGATGAATTAATAGATGATAATTTGTCTGAATTTCTAGGAGGAGACTCTCTCCTTAATTTTTCTGATTGTGTAGATACTTCCAATTGTGAATCGTGTAATAGTTCTTCTCTGTGTGACATTTGTGCTGAGATTTCTGATTATTTGAATGCAAATTCTACTACTTTTAACGTTGATGAACCTAACAATTCCATAGGATTAGAATGTGATGTATTGAGTACAACAAGTACAATTGAATCTAACGCCTTTGGTTTGAATATTGCAGAGACTTTGCCAAATGAAAGTGCCAAATCACTTCCTTCTGTGGAGCAACCTCTCACATTGGAGTTGAAGCCCCTACCAGAACATTATGAGAAGCTCCCGGTCATTATTTCCACCAAGCTTGAAGACGATCAAGAGGAGCTATTGTTGGAAGTAATTAAAAGGCATAAGAGAGCTATTGGATGGACTTTAGCTGACATTCCTGGTATTAGCCCTCTCATGTGCATGCACAAAATTCTGTTGAAAGGGAGGACCAAACTAGTGAAGCAACTTCAGAGGAAAAGAAAGAGAAAAGGAAGAGGAAAAGTAAGCCACAACTCCAAGAACTAGAAGCGCTGCACTTAAGAGCATATGAAGACTCAAGAACCTACAAGGAGAGAACCAAGCAGTATCATGATAAATTGATAGGTAGAGGAGAGTCTTGTGTAGGTCAAAAGATGCTTCTATTCAACTCATGTCTCAAGTTCATGACTGGAAGGCTACATTCCAGGTGGATTGGTCCATCAACAGTTACACAAGTATTTCCTAATGGTGCAGTGAAAATCAAGAGTGACTCCACTAACAAATGTTTCATAGTGAATGGACATCGTCTGAAGCATTTTTTGGAGAACTTAGTTCCCTTGGAGGAGATTGAAGAGGTGAATGTGTACTCCCCCATCATTTCCTTCAACCAAGACCCCTGTCATGAGTAAATCACTTTGCACGTCAAGCTAGTGACGTTAAAGAAGCGCTCTGTGAGAGGCAACTCACACGTGAATAAGGATTTTTGCTCTTTCCCTTTGCATTCTTTCAATTGAGTTTTTGTTTTTATTTGTTTTCATTTGTAGATACAATTCAATTTTGTGTGAATAATTTTCTGTGGACTCATAATTTTTGCAGGGATTGTGGCAGCAGCAAACACTTTGGGTACTCATTCATGCTTGGTACAAATTATTTTTCTTGAGAGTGGTCACTTTCATAGGCCATAGTGGTCACTTTGGCTCAAGGTAAGCATGTTTCTCCTTGTAGTTCCCACTTTTAAGAGTGAAAGTGGCTACTTTGACACCTAGGAGGTCAGTAGTTTGCGCGTGGACACTTTCTAGTCCAATAGTAGCCACACGCAATTCACTTTGCATTTTGGGGCTCACTGTAGTTACCACTTTCTTCATTGAAAGTAGCCACGCGCATATGCTCACAAAGAGGAACTCTCTGAAGTTCCCACTTTGAAGCCCCATAGTGGCCACGCGCAATTCACTTTGCAATTTAGGGCTTACTGTAGTTGGCACTTTCTTCAATGAAAGTAACCATGCACATATGCTCACAAAGAGGAACTCTCTGGAGTTCCCACTTTGAAGCCCCATAGTAACCACGCGCATATGCCCACACACACAACCTCACTTTAGTTGCCACTTTCTTCCTTGAAAGTGGCCACGTGCACCCACTTTCACGTTCCAAATTTCACACACCCACTCACACCCACTCACACCCATTCACACCCACTCACACCCACTCACTCCTAGTCCCAAGACGCATCTTCCCTCACCACACCCAAGGCTTCAAGCAAGGTAATTCTCTCAATTTCTCTCCATTTATGGTTAGGGTTCTTAGATTCCCCAATTTGGGGGTTTTCAATTTTACTTGTTTTTTTATTGAAATTGAGGTGTAATTGAGCATTCTTACATGAATTAGAGAGGATGAGGTCCCTAACTTGCACCCAATGGGGCGTATTACTCCCATTCAATTGGGCGTTCCCACTTTTGGCCCCAATAGTGGCCACACCCACTTCCTCCTTGCCATGACTTCCATTTATCGTTTTTGTTATGCTCCCCTCCCTCATTTTTCTCCTCTAAACATGCCAAAAATGATATTAAATTTCTTGTTCATGTATGTTAGTGCCTTTATTTGGTTCGTGCCCATTTCCATTTAGTTTTGGCCCCTCCATTTTGCTGTTTTGCTTTTCAATTCCATGCCATTTTACTTTTGCTGCACTTGATCCTCATGCACATTACATAAATAACCATGATTGTTGATCTTTCTGGGTGTTGAACATGCTTTTCATGACTTTAATTTCACTAATTGCTGCATTATGGTCCTTGAGCTTAGAAGCCATATTTTGCTATACATTTGATTGCTATACATAGTGACTGTATGCCACACCATTCTCTGTGCTTAATTGTTCTTGTCTGTACCAATTGAGCTCTATGCTTTGCCCATAGAATGCCTCTTTTTATAGAATGGAATGTGTTTGTAGGCTATGTACCATGATTGACATTGGTTGCCCTCTGAGTCATATGTAGCACTATACACCCTTTTGCACACAAATTACTTAGGATGGTATCAAATTATTTTGCAGCCCCTAGTTTGATTGCTTGCTGTTGTGTGTTACCATGGAGGGTTGACCCAATTTCCCTGCACTACCCATTCACATATTCTTTCTTCTCTGTAGATATTGTCAAGCAATCCTAGAAGGAACTTTGAATACATCATCTATAAAAAGGGGGGTGAACTTTTTGTCCCTGTTTTGCATTTATTTCTCGCTTACTTTTCCTCATTTCATGCCTTCTCTTTTCTTTTTAATCTAGTCCTGTTTTATAATTTTGCTTTTATGCTTTGATTGCATTTCCCATCCAACCCATACTCATTCTCATTTTTGTACATATTTCCGTCCCTACCATTTTGAACATATTTTCTTGTCGGGTGAATTGTACTCTCATTTTGCAAGTTATTATCACTTTTACCATGGTAGTGAATTGGGCCTTTCTTCTTCTTTTCTGTGTGCATATTACATGTATTTTTGCATTCATCTTCTAGAACTTGCCCTGTTTCTTAATTCAATATGCATTGTGCAATTTTCCATCTAGATGATTGAGGCCTTCTTTGCACATACCCTTCCCCCCACCCTTGCACTTCACTTCCCTGTTCCCCACTTCTTGCTTTTGCCAAACTTAGTCAACAAATATATTTCCCTTTCCTTAATAGAGGTATTTCTTTTGAGTTGCCTTAAGATTGAGTGCAAGAAACTAAGTTTGGGGTGTTGATTATGCTTGTAGTTGCTTGAGGACAAGCAATGTCTTAAGTTTGGGGTGGTGGACAGCATACATGTTCATAATACATGTCAATAATAAAAAAAAATGATTGTCAAAGTCCATGATATCACAAAAATATGAATGAATGAAAAAGGAGAAAAGAAAGAAAGAAAAATATAGCAAGGCATTTGAGTTGAAAAAGGATCTCCACATAAGGCAAATAAGAAAATTAATGTGGTGAAAGAATGCTTTAACCTCTTAAGCTACATCATTTAAGGTATTCCACTCTAGTTGTTGCACTAAATCACTCAAAAGAACTTCCTCCTCTTGAGTACCCACTTGATCTTGTCACCCTCAGTTAAAATTTGAGCCTATCCTAACCCCATTTGTGACCAACAAAGCCCTCATGATAGGTGGTTCGTTGTATCTAGGCAAAGGAGATTGAGAATATGGGCAAGCCTATGGTAGGGTGAGGCTAAATGCATGGATTGAGGGAAAACACTTAGCCTGAAATGTTGTTGAGTGATGAGTGAAACACCACCTTGTGAGATGGATAGTTTCTTTGCATTATGTGAGTCACATGAAACCTTACTTGATTCTTTTGTTTCAATTTAGTAAGACTTTGCATGGAATATTTGACATGAATATGATTCCTCTGTTGAATGAGTCTATGGTTGTGAAGATGTTGGAAGTGCTAATTAAAGCATGAAGTTGGAATGAAAATCTCTAAAAAAAATTTTTTTGGATAAATCCAACCCTCTTCATTTTCTTTGCTTGAATTTTGATTTGCTTGAGGACAAACAAAAGTTTAAGTTTGGGGTTGTGATGAATTCACTTTTTATTATATTTTTACTTGCCTTTTTGGTGCTCCTTAATAGAAAAAATGGACTTAGATAATGCAAATAATATAGAAATCACATTTTGAGTAAATATCATAGGTTTATTAATTTTTGTTTAATTTGCATTTAATTATATATATATAGATTGCAATTTTAATTATCTTAATAATTTTGCAGAGTCCCCAAGTTAATTTTGAGAAATCTTGGCCCTTGGATGAAAGTTGCCCCCAAAGTAGCCACTTTTAGGAGCAAAAGTGGCAATTACAGCAAGTCTGGGCATTAAAAGTTCCAAAGTAGCTACTATCAAGCCCAAAAGTGGCAACTCCAGAAGCTCCAGGGACGCCAATTTTGAAGCATTCCTGCGTGTGGCCACTATTGGCTCTCATAGTAGCCACGCGCACCAAAGTAGCCACTTTCAGCACAAATAGTGGCAACTCCAGAGAAGTGGCAACCCTTCCATCTTGCGCGTGGACACTTTCAAGGCCCAAAGTGGACACTTTCAAAGGCAAAAGTGGACACTTTGGTGACATGTCATCCACTATAAATAGATTTTAGGAATTAGGGTACGGGACTTTTGACACTTTACACAATTTTCCTTTGCCAAATTGAGACAATTTCTTACGACATTGGAGTCTAGGGTGACAGCCAAGGGTCTTCTATAGGTTTTAATTTCCAATTTCCCTTTTGATTTTTGTTGAATTTACTTTAATGCTGTTTACGTTCCTGCATTTCTTTTTCTCATTTGTGAAGCCCATCCATATGGAGGGCTAAACTTCCTTGTAATTCCTAGTCAATGCACATGAATCTTGAATTCTTGGGATTAATTGCAATATAAATCTTTCTTTCCTTGAATTTATTGACCCCAATCTTTGAATGAAATGGAATTTGCATGAAGGGAACATTGCTTAATGAACCCTAATTTACCTAACAAAATTCTAATTCAAAATTGTTTAATTTTGATTAATCCTTGAGGTTGCTTAATCTTAGGGATAGAGATTGGAGCCCATTAAGATGCTTAATTTTAATTGGGACATTAAAGTTAGTCTTCGCTTGTTAGAGTAACTTAATTCAAGGGAAATAAAGGGGATTATTGAATTATTTGAAAGAATAATGATGGAACTCATTGCTTGACTAGGGATTACTCATTTTAATTGATTGAATTTCATTAAATTTACATTTCGTTCTTGATTAAAACCCAGAAATTGACAAACCTCCCCCCAATTTACTTGCTTTAAAATACATGTTTACACTTGTTCGATGTATGTTCCCAACCAAAAATTTCTTGGAGACGACCTAGGATAACACCCTAGTACTGCATTCATTTCTTTGCATATTTGATGAGGATTAACGACAATCTTTTGCATGACGAGTAGCTCAAAATTCGTTTCATCATTATGTTAATCACACTTAATTCCTCTCTTTCAACCGCTCTTGAATTAAAAAACACGTAAGGTCTTTATGCTTTCTTTACCATTTGCCTTGCATGATCATTAGGGGTGATTGCTCAAGGAAAAGAATACTGGAGTTAAAATAATTAGAACATAAAGAAGTATAATAGGTGAAACCATAAGTCCTAAACTCATCTCATTCGATTTCTCTTATACGTTGCATTATTATTTTCTTCAATTAATTGTTAACATTAAGTCTTGTTTTTAATCCATCACACTCCCTTTGTGTTTAAACAATCGAATTAAGGTATTCTTGGTACTTGAAAATAATTTTTTTGGGACGATAACTTGAGAGCTCTTTTTCTTGAAAACTCTTTTATTACTTTTTGACGGGTACACTTACCCCCGAACAAGTTTTTGGCGCCGTTGTCGGGAATTAATTTTTAATATAAAAGAAAATCAAGTATTTGGTTGATTTAAATATTTTTATTTTTTATTTTGTTTTATGCTCACTCGTTCTAAACCTATTGGAGAAATTGCTTTTGATCCAAAAATTAAGAAGACAACACGTAGGCTAAGGAAGAGTGCAGACAGAAAAAGAAGATGGCGAAAGAAC